CCGTCCGACCCCTGCCTGCCCTCGGCCATTTGCATGTACAACGGGGACACGGCGACCACGGCTGTTCCTTTAGCTTCGCCACAGGGCACCCACCTTCCTGTGAGCCCTGAATCTGAACCCGTAGGGCCCACAGCCCCCCGCTGAACCCGGGCATGGCCTGGGAGGAGGAACAGAGGGGAGCTGTACACATCAAAGGCTCTTCCCCTCTTCCCCTCTTCCCCTCGCTGTCTTTTAAAAAAATCAAGATGAAAATTGCGTAACAAAATACCCACTGCTGTTGAACTAGCTAATGAGCGATCCTAGGGACCGATCCCGGGGTGTTTGCACGGAGATCCAGCCCCAGCCCCAGCCCCTTTCTATTTATTTCCAGACACAGGATCTCGTTAAGTCGCTAAGTTGCCCAGGCTGGGCTGGAACTTGGGATCCTCCTGCCTCAGCCTCCTAGAATGCTGTGCACCGCTGAGCCTGACTCATTCGCTGTACTTTGTGGGGGGAAATTCCTACTCTTCCCAGTTCCTCGGGGTGTGCAGACCAGAGATTTGTTGGTCACGGGCCACCTCCTCCACACCCGTCCACCACGATGGTCCTGCCTCGGAGCAGCTGACCACGGACTGAACCCCCTGAGGCCGTGAGCCCTAATAAAACTCTCTCCTTGGAGATGTAGGGTCAGGTGTTATGTCCCTGACAGGAAACTCACTAACGGCCTCCAGTTTTCGCAGGGCACAGCACAGCCCCTGAAGATAACCAGCCCCCGCCCCACCTGCCTCCGCCCCTGACCTTCGCAGGCATCCGGAGGCACCTGGGACCCCTGCCCCGGCAGCAGAGCCCTCACTGAACACCCACCGTGCTCTCTGCCCAGAGCCCCAGCCCACTCCCTGCGGCCTCGCTGCCACCTGCCGGGTCTCTGTCATACCACGGTGCTCAGCAGGTCAGCTCCTGCCCACTGCCACAGCCTCGGAGCCCTGCCCGGGTCCTCGCCGGGCCCTGAGTGCCAGCGCTGTCGCCCCTGACCTGCTGTACCGTTCACCCATCCACTGCTTCCAGAGCCCTCAGAGGCCCTCTGCGCCCTGAGCCCTCTCAGCCTGAAGCCCATGGCATAGTCTGTCTGTGAAGATGCTTTGCTTTGGTTTTTCAGACCGGGTCTCGCTACATAGTTCAGCCACTGCAGAGCCCAGCTCAGCTTTGAACTTGCAGGGATCCTCCTGCCTCAGCCTCTTGACTATGGGATGACGGGCGAGTGCCACCACACTGGGCAACTCGATGACGTTTCTGTCTCTCAGCTGTGCTGAGCCCCAAGCTGGGCATGGTTTCGGCTCCATGTACGGCCCACATCAAGGGACAGGGACAGGGCCTGCTGCCACGCTCCATTTGACATAAAGGGGTCCTGGAAGTCCAAGCCAGTGCCACCTCCAGGGGGCCTCCCAGCCTCGACTCCCCCAATAGAGGGGAAGAGAAGCAAAGGCACGGACCTCAGAGCTCAAGGGCGCACAGTCGCTGTTGGTTTCCAGAACCAGAAAAGCAGGGCCAACGAGTCCCGCTTGTGTCCCCCTGCATGTCAACGTGGCTGCCAGGCACAGGATTCTGCACTCCAACCTCCTCCCGGTGCCAGGCAGTGCAATGCATGGATTCCGCTGTGCCACTGGGGAGGAGGTGGAGGTGGAGGTGGAGGAGGAGGAGGAG